TCCCCGCTTGTGTTCTCTCCCCCGTAACTCCCGACTGTGAACCCCTGTTGCCCGGCTGTCCCTCCCCGCCCAGCCTTTGTGCCCCTGCTCACTGTCCCATTAACCCCTCCCCCCCAACTCCTCCTCTCCATTTCCCTCAGCTTGGCCTCTGCTCAGCAACCCCACCTCCTGGCCCACTGGATCCCTGCTGGGACCCCTTCTATTGTTCTCCCCGCAACCACCTGGATCACCATCTCTTGTCTGGCTCTCTAAACAATCTCCCCTCCCCCTACTCTCTTGGCCCTGAACCCTCCCTTCCCCTCCCCAACCCTACCCAGGAACCCAGCCCCCTTGTACTGTATCCTGACAACCTCACACCTGCCTAGGACCCAAGTGATTCTCCCTCTCCCTTTGTCTGAGGAAGGGGAACGCTGGTGTTCCCAGTGCCCATGTCCCCAGGTCCCTTCCTGTCTGGGGCAGGAGAGCTTTATTAAAATAGGAATTGTGATCCCATTTAAATAGGCTTTATTTTAAATAATATATCTTTAAAATTAAATTAAAAATGGTCATGGCCTAAATTTATCATAACCTATTTAAATAACTTATGAATTAAGTTTAAAAATTAAATAGAACATGTCTCCTGTCAACTTTTAAAGAAATTCTACCAGTTCACTGGTGTAAGTTGCTGTGTAAGCACCTGGAACCAGTGTTTACATCAGCAGTAGCTTCTTCTGCAGGTGAAGAGAGAATGTTTTTATCACTTTGGTTTATTCAGCTAGTTCAATTCAATGATTAGTTTATTCACCATTGCAAAACCGAGAGTTGACGAAGCAGAAAAACTTGTTTTCCTCTTCTCTCAGTAAAAAACTGGTTATAAGAGTGTTCTAACATCTTGAAGAACATGATGACTACATTCGATTGGTTAAATTCACTATGGATATTTCCTTTGTTTAATAAATGAATTTTAGATGCAAAATGTGTTTGGATACTTTTTTTTTGTTCTGTGTCCTTCATATTTAAGGTAGTTTTATTTCATACAAAATTAAATGCTGGTTTTGTTTATTTTAAATAGAATTTACGTCCAGACAGAAGTAGATGCAAATCATAGGTTTAAAAAAAAAAAAAAAGTATCCACCACTCAGCAAATAATAAATGGGATAAAACCTATCTCTTAAGTGTTCCTATTACAAAATGGTGTGTAATAGAATAAAAATGTAAGAATTAAGAATCTGGTTACACGTAAGTTACACAATTATTTGGGCATTTATTTAGTTGTTAGATGTACTGAGTGTATTCTCCTGGTTAGTAAATTTAAACCTAGGTTTTCTGCTTGCCAGTTTAAATCATGATTAAAATTAGAGATTTAAATCAAAGCTATTTAAATCAATCCACCCTGCTTCAGAGGCTGTTTGGTCCGTCCCTGAAGGAGAAAGCACAGGGCTGCACTCATGGAATAGGTCTTAGGCTAGTGGGGTTTTGTTGTCTGGTGCCTGTCTTGTTCTGGACAGTTGAAACAGAAGTTCTCTTAATCCCTTTGAACTGCGTCATTGTATAGTGAGGCTGATTCTTGTCCATGGACACCAAGAGTTAGACAGCTTGTGTGTTGGGGTTGGAGTCTGAGTGATTATAAGGCTTCTAGTAATGAAATCCCTTTGCAGAGTGAGGAGTGGGACCAGGACTCCAGCACTAGATGATGTGAACAGCTGCATGCTTTGGAGTTCTTTAACTGGCTTGCTGTGGATGAACCTGCCCTCCCATTGTCCTCACGTAGGGAGTCCCTGGCACTCTCGTAGGAGATGAAAATGCCCCGGGGTTTGGGTTCCCCCTGAAGCACGTACCCCACCCTCCAGGAAGCCGCACAAGCTGCATTCGCGCGCACACCCCCAGCAAGCCATGCAAGCTGCGGACCTTTCCCGGACAAAAAAGGGGGGAGGAAGGGGTGGCCAAAATATTTTATGCTTGGGGCAGCAAAAAACCTAGAGCCAGCCCTGGCCTTATGCATATGGTGTAGTTTAAAAAAAATGGGTGCAAAAAATCACATAAAAAACCAACAATTTTTTGTGCTCCATTCCAGAAAGGACATACAGTAAATTTTGCTGCTCTATTGCTAGCCTACGAAATCAGCATTAAAAGGGAGTTACTCACCTTGTGCAGTAACGAGTATTCTTCGAGAGGTGTGTCCCCGTGGGTGCTCCACTGTAGGTGAAGGGTCGCCCTGAGCCTCAGATCGGAGCTTTCTATAGCAGTTTCCCCTGTTGAGTCACGCATGCCCAGGAAGCGTCTCGAGCCCTTCCCGCCTCCTGAGGAGAGTGACTCATCCCCCTCCCTTTCAGTTCCTCGGCTCCGCCCGAGTAATTTCGACTCCGAGCAGAGGGGAGGTAGGGAGGGTCGTGGAGCACCCACGGGGACACACATCTCGAAGAACACTCGTTACTGCACAAGGTGAGTAACTCCCTTTTCTTCTTCGAGTAGTGTCCCCGTGGGTGCTCCACTGTAGGTGACTACAAAGCAGTATCCAGTATATGGTTGGAGGGAGCCGGAGTCAGTGTTTGGCAGTGGTGGAGAGCACTGCCGTGGCAACTGCTGAGTCACTCTTAAGTTGTGGAAGAATGGCGTAATGTTTAGCAAAGGTATGATCTGAAGACCATGTTGCTGCCCGGTAAATGTCTCTTAGGGGGACATTGCTCAGAAAGGCTGTGGAGGCAGCCGTGGCTCGAGTAGAGTGTGCTCTTGGTGGGCATATCAGCGGTCTATTGCCCAGTGAGTGGCACTTAATTATGCATGTAGATATCCATTTTGAGATTCGTTGAGATGATATCGGTGTGCCTTTGGATCGTTCAGCGATGGAGATAAAAAGTCTTTCAGATTTACGGAATGGTTTTGTTCTTTCTAGGAAGAAGGCCAGAGCCCTCCGGATGTCCAGGGTGTGCAGAGTGGCATCTGTCTGCGACGAGTGCGGTTTTGGGAAAAAGGTAGGTAACACGATCGGTTCGTTAATATGGAATTCTGTACCGACCTTTGGCAAAAACGTGGGGTGGGGTCTAAGTATGACCCTATCCTTTGTGAAAATTGTGTAAGGAGGTTCTGACATTAACGCTCCAAGTTCGCTCACCCTCCTGACTGAGGTGATGGCTAAGAGGAAACAGACCTTCATAAAAAGGAAAGGAAGTGGCACTGTTGTCAGTGGCTCAAAGGGAGGTCTGGTGAGGTAGTTCAAAACAAGATTTAGGTCCCACAAGGGGGGTGGAGTCCTATGTGGTGGGTATACATTCTGGAGTCCCTTGAGGAATCTTTTTGTAATAGGGTGGTTGAAAACGGAGAATCCATCTACTGGTGTATGAAATGCTGCTATTGCAGAGAGGTGTACTCTTAGGGAAGAGACAGAGAGTTCTGATGCTTTAAGGTCCAGAATGTAATCTAGAATGGTATCTAATGGTGAGGCACGGGGCTCCATTTTGACTCGCTGACACCAGTGACAGAAACGTGCCCATTTCTGTTGGTAAGTTTTCCGAGTAGACTGTCTCCTGCTCTGGAGGAGGATGTCCTTTACTTGCTGGGAGCAGCGATCTTCTACCTCTGAGAACCAGAGAGAAGCCAAGCCTGAAGATGCAGGGTATTGAGTTGTGGGTGCAGTATCTTGCCGTTGTTCTGAGATAGTAGGTCTATCCGGTACGGTAGCGGGTAGGGGGGCTGGACCGCTAGCCTGTGAAGGTATGGGTACCAGGTTTGTCGAGGCCATGATGGCGCAATCAGGATGACTAGGGCTTTGTCCCTCAGGATCTTGCGCAGGACTCTGGGGATGAGCGGTATGGGAGGAAAGGCGTAGTGTAGGGAGGCTGTCCAATTGATCAGGAAGGCATCTCCCAGAGAGTGTTTGCCAAGTCCCGCACGTGAGCAGAATTGGGGACATTTGGTGTTCTGGGTAGAAGCAAAGAGGTCTATCGATGGCCATCCCCACTGGTGGAAAATTGAGTTCGCCACCTCCGTATGTAACTCCCATTCGTGGTTCAAAGCGAAGTTTCGGCTGAGTGAATCCGCTTTGATGTTGTTCACCCCGGGCAAGTAGGACGCTATGAGGGTGACTTGGTTGCGGATGCACGAGTTCCACAGGCGAATAGCCTCCGCGCATAAAGAGCGGGAGCGGGCTCCACCCTGCCTGTTTATGTAGAACATTGTGCAGATGTTGTCTGTTAGGATGCGGACTGTGTGATTGGCGATGGAGGAGGCAAAGTGTGCACAGGCATTCCTTACTGCCCTTAACTCGAGGAGATTGATATGTAAGTGTGTCTCGTTTGGGGACCATCTGCCTTGAACTTCGTGGCCGTTCATATGTGCCCCCCAGCCTAGCAGGGAAGCATCTGTGGTGATTTGGATAGTGGGTTCGGTTTGTTGGAACGGAACCCCTGTCAAGAGATTGCTTGGCACTGTCCACCATCGTAAGGATCCCAGCACGTCTGGTGGGATAGTAACCGTTTTGTTTCGAGGGTGCCGTGATGGGATATAAACAGTTGCCATCCAGAGTTGAAGACATCGAAAGTGCAGGCGAGCATGGTGGACTACATAGGTGGTGGAAGCCATGTGGCCCATTAGTCTGAGGCATGTAAGTACTGTGGTGGTAGGAACTGTAAGCATCCCATTTATAATTTCTTGCATAGTTGCAAAACGTTGTTGAGGTAGGTATGCCCGGGCTGTCACTGAGTCCAGGCGTGCACCAATGAACTCTATGTCTTGAACTGGATACAGCGTTGACTTGTCTTGGTTGATTAGAAGGCCTAGACGACTGAGGAGGGTCGTGGTCGTCTGTATCATAGAGGCTGTTTCGGCGTACGAGGATCCCTTTAGGAGGCAGTCGTCTAGATAGGGAAATATGATGACGTTTTGTCGTCTGAGATATGCCGTCGCGACAGCCAGTACCTTCGAAAATACTCTCGGGGCTGATGAGAGGCCGAAGGGGAGAACCCTGTACTGGAAGTGGTCTGGTCCCAACATGAAGCGCAGGTAACGTCTGTGGGAGGGGTGGATGGTTATATGGAAATAGGCATCTTGGAGGTCGAGGGCTGCAAACCAGTCCCCTTGATCTAGCGCAGGAATGATTGTGGAGAGTGTGACCATCTTGAAATGTTGTTTCTTGAGAAATTTGTTCAGTTTGCGGAGGTCCAATATAGGTCTCCAGCCCCCTGTTCGTTTTTCGGTTAAGAAATAGCTCGAGTAAAACCCTCTCCCGTGGAACTCTCGGGGTACCCTTTCTACTGCTCCGATGAGGAGGAGTCGATCGATTTCTTGTTTCAGAAGGGTCTCGTGAGAGTGGTCCCTGAAGAGGGACGGGATAGGGGGAAGGGTAGGGGGGATAGAGGTGAAAGGGATGGTGTAGCCCACTCGAATGATTTCCAAAACCCAGCGGTCCGATGTTATGGACTCCCATTGAGGAAGGAATGGGCGCAAACGATGGGTGAACAGATGGCCATGTTGGGGTAGTGCTAGATCGTAAGCAGGGTGTCGCAGGCCCTCGACCAAATCTTCAAATTTGCTGTTTAGATGGTTGGGTAGTTGGTGGGCGGGCCTGGTTGTGGCGTCTTCTGGGACCTCGTTGCCTTGGTCTAGTGTCTTCATAGGGCCTCTGTGATCTATTATATTGCCCATATCGGTATCGGTTGTATGAGTTATATGGGGTGTATCGTCCGCGTCTATAGGGCTGCATGCACATGCCCAACGTGCGGAGTGTAGACTTGGAATTTTTGCTGTTATGGAGTATTTCATCCGTAGTGGCTGCAAATAGTTTGTGCTTGGCGAAGGGCAGAGCCTCGACGGGAGGCTGGAGATCGCGGGGATCGCCGGAGGACGGGAGCCAAGAGGGT